TATATATATATATTTATATATTTTCTACCATAAAAAATGATTGAGTAGAACCCGACTGTACACATCCATATTGAATATGATTCTGTTTGGCCAAATCTTCAACATTTTCAATAGGAGCTCCTAATCTTTCTACAGTGAGAAATGCTGCCAAATTTGCTGTATAAGAGGAAACCATGATGAGAGTAAAAAACCACCACATGCCTGCAGCAAGTCTCGTAGATAATGACCTGAAGCAATAAAGAAAGACTATTAAAAAAACAGTAAATTTTTAAAATTAAATTTACTTAAAGCTTTATCTAAAGTTTCTAAATAAATAAAAAAAAACGTTTTAAAACATCATTTCTAAATTTAAATATTTTTTAATATCTGGTTTATGATATTAAACTACATTATACATGATAATTATGTACATATTTCAGGTATATTTTTTAGAGTTTTATGTGTAATTTTGTTATCCTATTCAAATATTTTATTACTTGTAAACTTTGCAAAAATTGCTCAAAATAAAATCGTTTTTTGTTCGGTACACAAATCACAACACTTTGGTTACACAAAATTGCTAAAAATTGCAAAATTTAGTACACAAAATTGCTAAAAATTGCAAAATTCAGTACACAAAATTGTTAAAGTACTTGCAAAAAACACGGTTAAATAACTCTTTAGAGAATGCAATTATAGAGGTTAATGCACGTATCAATTCATTTGCATATTTCCGCATTTTCAATCAACTATTTAGTGTTTGTTTGATGATTTTATACCAATTCTTCATTGAAATGTGGAAAGTAATTTATAGTTATCTAAAAATATATATATGGAAAGAAAAATCTGATTAAAAGTATCTCGAAGAATTTTATTTGTCAGTAATAGTTGTGATGTCTGATACTATAGTAGTCTGAAAGGCCACTTTAGCTGATATCGACAAATTTGATTTGTCTGTTATGCGAGCTATTCTGTCAGAGATTCCGAAGAAGATAAGATTTTCAACAATAGGAACTTTAAGCGGATAAAGAGAATACAAATACAGTTTAATGGCAATAAAAATTGTTTCATTAATAATATAACACAGAAAAATATTTTACTACAATAATTGGAAAATACATTTCAAAAAGATTTTACAAGCAATTTTTTTTTACTTTCCAGGCTCTGTTATACATAACAGATCACTCCACGAGATTTTTACAGTTTTGGACTCAGAGGACCTTGAAACGTTCAGAAATGTAAAAACAGTTCTGTTTTTTTTTCTGTATTTATGGATGTTAGTGTGTGTCTGTTGCACGATTTTGTCCACCCTCTTTGAAACTTAATAACTCTAATAACTCCTGTGCTTTTTGTCGAAAATTTCTGAAAGTTTTCAGGGAGGGTTGTTTATTAAGGGAATTGATGCTATAAAATTATTCAATTTTGGTGATTAAAGGTCGAGGAATGGGGAGAGTCGTGAGTCATATCTCGTGTAGGGTCAGACTATAAAACCCGTCCCTATCCTCAAAATTAATCTTTTTGCCATTTTATAATAATTACAAGTGTAAAAAGATTTTAAAGAAAATAATATCATAATAACAAATGACACCACACCCAGTTTTAAACTTTGCCGGGAAAGTTAAGCAACTCGTTTCTGGAAATATTTTTTTTTAAAGTAGATAAGACGAACGATTAAATATATACTTCTGGAAATTCTCTACAATACATTTACGATATTGATAATATCAAAAGTCTTCGTGGACATCACGAATCACGGATAAATGCTATTTTTTATGATATCACGTATATTTTATTATTACAGACAACTAAAAATAGGAATTCGGAATAGCACAAGTTAAAAATGTAATTCGATACGAAAATTTACGAGCAACATTGTCCATCATAATTCTCGAAAATCTCAGCTCCAGTTTTTTTATTTTTCAGTCGTTAAAAAAAAGAAAAAAAAATTTATGAACAGATGAATGAACAGGCTAGCGAACTGATAGATAAAATAAATATAGGAACTATTCCTACATAATTTTATTGATAAAATTCGTTACTTAGGCATATATCAGGAAGTTATATTCAAATACTTCTATATTATAATTTGGACAAACGAAAATATCAGCTATATTTGTATTAAATATTTATGTAAAGAAATTCTGACTGGTTCGTCGTGTTTTATCTCAATTACTCGTATATCGATTTTTTCCAACTTTTTCGTCATATCTACTGCAATGTAAAGAATTTTAAAATAATATTGATAACTTTTTCAGCTTGGTTCAATACATTTTTTATCGCTTTCAACTTTACTTCTAAATATATATATATATAGGAACCAATAATATTAAACTTTCAACATTTAATTTTTCAAAAAAAAAGAAGAAAAATATTGTATGTATTTAGTTGCAAACTTATAAAATGTTTATATTTTGAGTGAAAGTTTTTAAAAAAAAATTTAAAGTATTTTTAGTTAATATTTTCACGCTTCGCTTAAATGCTAATTACTTTGTAATAATTAACATAATTAAAAAATTTTTTCTACTTTGTACGAATTAATTTTGTATATAAAGAAATTTCGTTATTGTAATTTTTTAATGGATTTTTCAGTTTATGATGGTTCAGAATATTAGCTTATCAACGTTACTCTAGGGAATGTACTCAGTGATAGCGTGTTCGCTTCCAATGCACTCCATGTTATCACCCCCCCCGGAAAAGCTAGGATGCCCTTTTAAAAAAAGATGAACGGTATAGCACGGTAAACCTGAATTCAAAATTTCAGAGACTTTCGTATTATTTCGATAACCTTTCTCACCATCTGGCCACCCTCATTGTAACCTTTGCTGAATCTATCCTGGATTTACAAGAAAGTTTTCTAGTTGCCACACGGAAAAGTTTTTAAAAAAACTTATTGACANAGAAGGAAAAACACTTTTTTATATTAAATTTTGAATTTTTAATGGTGTGATAAAAATACGAGATGTTTATTTCTTAGAAATATAACAGTGAAATTATTATATATTCAGTTGTCTTTATAGACATATTTCAAAATTATTGCATAGAATGCATCAGTTATATTATGCTTCAATATAAGGCACTCCGATTATCAGTATTATTTTTTAAATAATACTCTTCTTCCTTATTTATTATTTTTAAATACGAAAATAAGTTTTGTTTGTTAATATTTTTTTTTACTTGCTAGCTATAGAAGCTCTAAGAATGATATAAAAAAATATATTTTTTTTAAGAAGACGAAAAATAGGTCATGGCCAAACTAACATTTTTAGTCTCAGCCAGTTAAATAAAATTTTAGTGATAAATTTTCACAGAATGACATATATTCTATTTCATATTCTGGAAAGATATGCGCCAATTGTTCTTATCTTAAAGATCTGAATGACAAATCAATACTGTAAATTGAGATTGATATACATATCTACAATACTATGTGATATCATAAGCATTCCCACTAAATTTTATTATAAGTATGTAACATTTAATAACATAACAGGAATATTAAGATATAAAAAAATGAATGTTGTGAAAGAATTCAAGTCAACAGAAGAAATTTTATTAGCTTATTTTTATGATTAAGTTTATTATAATTTTACGACTTCGAGAAATTACAATTATCCATTCAATTTTTGATCTTTTAATATATTAAAGCAGTCGTAGCAGCTGTAATGAATGCTGGAAGTCAGATTAAAAAAAATAATAATAATAATTTTGCTCTTTTAGTTATGGACGTAATTATAATTAAGGTTGATGAGATTGAGTTGTTGAATAGTAGATTTATTGATATAATATCTTATGAACCAAAAGACTGGGTAGAGATACAGGAAACTGCCATTAAAATAATTAATTAGCATGTTTTTATCTAAAGGCTAATAGATGTTTTAATATTTTTTTAAATATTACAAACCTTTCACTAGAATTCAAATTAATATAATGATCGTTATTAATTGTTAGAGATGAAATTTATTTTACTAGCTTGTGTATTATAATATAAATAAAAACACATTTCGAATATGGACACAAGAATTCGCACAGACTGCGATTTCCTGTCTACAAGAAAACCCTCCTTATGTTTGTAGATTATTCATGTCTATAATTTAAACAAGATTATGTTGCTAACTAATTTAAGAATTCATTGAATATGTTCTCCCTCTAACATTCTAGAAAGATAAAAGTTAAATAAAAGCCTGAGGATCCGAAAACTTTTGACCATTGGATACAGGTCATTTTCTGTTTCTCGCTTATGCTAGATGAATCATTGTGGATCCTATTTGCTTATGATAAATTAAATTGATGTCAACTGTATAATATGTAACTGTAATAAACTATATAATCGATGAAACACGTTATAAATTTAAAATATTTTGAGACTTCATGAAAAACTGCTTTTTCTGAATACTTTATCATTATTAATTTGTTTACTGTACATATATTTTACAGAGATATTCCAAATGTTAGATGTATGAAAACATTTTAGTTCTTTTCTAAGCCAATTATTCGGTTTTAAATTAATTTCATATTTTAGTTTATTAATAAGATTAATAACATGGTTAGACTGTTATAAACTGAAAACATTTAATGTCTGTTTTTAAATTGAGAGATTACAGAAATTATTTTATTAAACACACTTAATTAAGCATATTTTGTAAAATGTTTTTCATTTTCCTAACCAACCAACAAAATAGCAAAAATCTTTATCATCTTTCATTAAAGATTTTGCAACTGTAAAAGCTATAAAAATACTCTACAAACTTTATTTTATATATAAATGTTATCATTATTTATTATTATCCACAACAACATATTAAGAATATCTTTATTACAGGTATTAAAGATACAAATCATAGTCATTTTGTGGTCTCTCTTATACTCAAGAGGAACATTTTTTATTGTCTTTAACTCGCAGTTTGATTATACTATTTATTAACTCTATATAGATATAAATTATTTTTAAAAAATAAGATATTAATAAGTTAAAAAAAAATAATAAAAGCAATATTGGAAAAATTATTAGTGAAATAAATTATATTAAATAGTTAAAATTTAATTTACTCGACAGAATTACAAACAAATATAGAAATTATAACTTTAATTTAAAATTACTAAATTATATTAATTTAATATTTTCCATTTGTTATTGATGTTAAACACATTACTTATTAATTAAAACTACGGAAAACTTTAATACTATATAAACAAATTTGATTTGATGTGCTTGAGATATATTTACAGTCGATTTGTTTCAGCTCGTCCAATTTTCATTATATTATATATTAAATAAATTAATATATTTTAATAATTTAGATAAATCAGACTTTTATACATTAAGATTTTATATAGTTTAATCATAAATTATTTTTAAATTAGTCCATTTTTATTTATGAATTAAACTTAAAAATCCTTTAAAATATGACAACAATTTTTAAACATTATTAATTATTAAAACTATTTTTAAGTAGATAAAAATGTTAAATAAATTAAATATTTTAAAATATTTTCANAAAATTTTTTAGAAAAATTCTTTTCAAAATTTAAAAAGTTTTTAAGGATTTTATAAAATATAATTAAATAATAAAATTTTAAAATCATTGAAATTTAATAATGCTAATGTATGATCAAAATAAATTAAATATAGATTAATGACTTTACAATTAACTTTAATAAATAATAAAGTTTAAAAACTTGGAATGGTTTTTTTTTTAAATTATAAAAAAATCGTGTGCAGATTATATACATTATAAATTCAAAATATTTACAGTTTTATTTACATTTTACGACTCATACTGTTATTTACAACATTTTATCAAGACTTTTATCATGATTCTTCTATACACATTTGTATATGAATCTGTATTAAAATTTACCGGTTTTTATGGAAAATTACAATGTTTAGTGAGTTAAACTTTATTAATATTCAGAGGATAGTTTTAATTTTGAATGCATTCTGATAGACTAATGGTGGGATTTTTTGGTGTTTGTTTTTTTTTTCTTTTCTTTTTGGAAGACTGATCCTGAATGGGAATTTCAAATAATTTCTGCATAACTTTGATGCTCTATTTTTTGTTTGTTTTTTTTTAAATATCTGACTAGATATCGGACATATCCTCTTGAGAATAATGATAATAGCTGACACTTTCGTTTTTTAAAGGTTCTAATACAACTTCTCCCTTTTCTTGTCAAGAAAATGTATCTTTCGAAGGTGACATTGAATAACGATTAAGAGGCATGAATCTGAGATCATTATCGACATGTTGTTCATCGTCGTCTTTTGGAGCCGGTTTGGAAGTTTTGCACATCATAGCCAGTTTTAATTCCCGACATAATTCTACACATAATGGTTCCTATAAAAAATAAAAAAGTATGCAAAAATTTATAATTGTTTTAACGATTTACTTTATCTATTATGTTAAATTTACGCATTAAAGATTATAGAAAAAAATTCTTTTATTTTAAATTAATTTATAACGATTATTATTTTATTAATGATAAATTTACCCTGTGATCTTTTGGCATTTTACGAGATTTCCAATAAAATTCCCCAATCACCATAATGCATGCCAAAGCCATTCCAAACGTCAATACTATAAATACACCTCCGACATTAGCCAAACCTAATTCACTAGCAGAAACCGAAGTAGATGTCTCTTCTTTAGCACATTTTCCTCCCCCTTTTGTTCGCCACCATTTATCTTTAAGAACTCTCAAACCACCTTTTTCTTGCAATTTTAAAATTGCGCTAGATATCACGGTTCTATAGGGAGAACCTGAAGACAAAATAATATATAATTGACATAGTATTCTACTATAATTTCATTAAGAGTTGTAAAATTAATGAAAGGTAAAGTTACCTGTCGGGAAAGCTACCCCATATCCTTTGGAATCTAAATTAGCACCTATCTTAGTTAATTCGCAGTTTCTTTCTACTCTGTACTCAATAGAAGTTGATTCCATTAAAAAGGCATAATTTCCTTTCAGAACTCTTTCCACGCCTTTGTCATTATCTTCAGTGAATACACTGGGTCGAGCTGACTCCATAACACTCCACATTCTTTTGTAAGTAGAATAGTTAGAATGCTGTAAACAGAAAACTGTAAGTAGTAATATATTTATTTTAAAATATATATATATATATTTATATATTTTCTACCATAAAAAATGATTGAGTAGAACCCGACTGTACACATCCATATTGAATATGATTCTGTTTGGCCAAATCTTCAACATTTTCAATAGGAGCTCCTAATCTTTCTACAGTGAGAAATGCTGCCAAATTTGCTGTATAAGAGGAAACCATGATGAGAGTAAAAAACCACCACATGCCTGCAGCAAGTCTCGTAGATAATGACCTGAAGCAATAAAGAAAGACTATTAAAAAAACAGTAAATTTTTAAAATTAAATTTACTTAAAGCTTTATCTAAAGTTTCTAAATAAATAAAAAAAAACGTTTTAAAACATCATTTCTAAATTTAAATATTTTTTAATATCTGGTTTATGATATTAAACTACATTATACATGATAATTATGTACGTATTTCAGGTATATTTTTTAGAGTTTTATGTGTAATTTTGTTATCCTATTCAAATATTTTATTACTTGTAAACTTTGCAAAAATTGCTCAAAATAAAATCGTTTTTTGTTCGGTACACAAATCACAACACTTTGGTTACACAAAATTGCTAAAAATTGCAAAATTTAGTACACAAAATTGCTAAAAATTGCAAAATTCAGTACACAAAATTGTTAAAGTACTTGCAAAAAACACGGTTAAATAACTCTTTAGAGAATGCAATTATAGAGGTTAATGCACGTATCAATTCATTTGCATATTTCCGCATTTTCAATCAACTATTTAGTGTTTGTTTGATGATTTTATACCAATTCTTCATTGAAATGTGAAAAGTAATTTATAGTTATCTAAAAAATATATATGGAAAGAAAAATCTGATTAAAAGTATCTCGAAGAATTTTATTTGTCAGTAATACTTGTGATGTCTGATACTATAGTAGTCTGAAAGGCCACTTTAGCTGATATCGACAAATTTGATTTGTCTGTTATGCGAGCTATTCTGTCAGAGATTCCGAAGAAGATAAGATTTTCAACAATAGGAACTTTAAGCGGATAAAGAGAATACAAATACAGTTTAATGGCAATAAAAATTGTTTCATTAATAATATAACACAGAAAAATATTTTACTACAATAATTGGAAAATACATTTCAAAAAGATTTTACAAGCAATTTTTTTTTTACTTTCCAGGCTCTGTTATACATAACAGAGGGAAAGTATATCGATGGGTCAAAAAATCACTCCACGAGATTTTTACAGTTTTAGACTCAGAGGACCTTGAAACGTTCAGAAATGTAAAAACAGTTCTGTTTTTTTTTCTGTATTTATGGATGTTAGTGTGTGTCTGTTGCACGATTTTGTCCACCCTCTTTGAAACTTAATAACTCTAATAACTCCTGTGCTTTTTGTCGAAAATTTCTGAAAGTTTTCAGGGAGGGTTGTTTATTAAGGGAATTGATGCTATAAAATTATTCAATTTTGGTGATTAAAGGTCGAGGAATGGGGAGAGTCGTGAGTCATATCTCGTGTAGGGTCAGACTATAAAACCCGTCCCTATCCTCAAAATTAATCTTTTTGCCATTTTATAATAATTACAAGTGTAAAAAGATTTTAAAGAAAATAATATCATAATAACAAATGACACCACACCCAGTTTTAAACTTTGCCGGGAAAGTTAAGCAACTCGTTTCTGGAAATATTTTTTTTTAAAGTAGATAAGACGAACGATTAAATACATACTTCTGGAAATTCTCTACAATACATTTACGATATTGATAATATCAAAAGTCTTCGTGGACATCACGAATCACGGATAAATGCTATTTTTTATGATATCACGTATATTTTATTATTACAGACAACTAAAAATAGGAATTCGGAATAGCACAAGTTAAAAATGTAATTCGATACGAAAATTTACGAGCAACATTGTCCATCATAATTCTCGAAAATCTCAGCTCCAGTTTTTTATTTTTCAGTCGTTAAAAAAAAGAAAAAAAAATTTATGAACAGATGAATGAACAGGCTAGCGAACTGATAGATAAAATAAATATAGGAACTATTCCTACATAATTTTATTGATAAAATTCGTTACTTAGGCATATATCAGGAAGTTATATTCAAATACTTCTATATTATAATTTGGACAAACGAAAATATCAGCTATATTTGTATTAAATATTTATGTAAAGAAATTCTGACTGGTTCGTCGTGTTTTATCTCAATTACTCGTATATCGATTTTTTCCAACTTTTTCGTCATATCTACTGCAATGTAAAGAATTTTAAAATAATATTGATAACTTTTTCAGCTTGGTTCAATACATTTTTTATCGCTTTCAACTTTACTTCTAAATATATATATATATAGGAACCAATAATATTAAACTTTCAACATTTAATTTTTCAAAAAAAAAGAAGAAAAATATTGTATGTATTTAGTTGCAAACTTATAAAATGTTTATATTTTGAGTGAAAGTTTTTAAAAAAAAATTTAAAGTATTTTTAGTTAATATTTTCACGCTTCGCTTAAATGCTAATTACTTTGTAATAATTAACATAATTAAAAAATTTTTTCTACTTTGTACGAATTAATTTTGTATATAAAGAAATTTCTTTATTGTAATTTTTTAATGGATTTTTCAGTTTATGATGGTTCAGAATATTAGTTTATCAACGTTACTCTAGGGAATGTACTCAGTGATAGCGTGTTCGCTTCCAATGCACTCCATGTTATCACCCCCCCCGGAAAAGCTAGGATGCCCTTTTAAAAAAAGATGAACGGTATAGCACGGTAAACCTGAATTCAAAATTTCAGAGACTTTCGTATTATTTCGATAACCTTTCTCACCATCTGGCCACCCTCATTGTAACCTTTGCTGAATCTATCCTGGATTTACAAGAAAGTTTTCTAGTTGCCACACGGAAAAGTTTTTAAAAAAACTTATTAACATTAATTATTTTATTTTAATACGTAAAATATTTTAATAAATTCGATTTTAGCAGATAGATTAGAATAGTTTCGAGTCATAATGAAATAATTTATTTGAAATTTATAAATATAACAATTTAAAAGTGCATAATTTATTGTTATTTTTTAAAAATAACAATGTTAATTTATGATTATTTAATAAATAAGAATGAAAAGATGTTTCTTATTAAACTTTAATAATATTTTATTACAGTAGACCACTCTATAACACTGTAGATAATTCCGTGTTATATGAATTTCATGTTGTACGAGTCACTTAGATTTTACAAATACGTGAGCCGTTCACAGCCCGGCACACGTATTTGTAAAATCTAAGTGACTCGTACAACATGGAATTCATATAACACGGAATTATCTACAGTGTTATAGGGGGGTCTACTGTATTTACTGTATAAAATATGTTTTACAAATTAAACTTTCTAAAATAATAGGAAAACAATGTAAAATATTTTTTTCACGGATTCAAAAAAAACTGAAGATGTGAGGATTTGAGTATATAAAAATAAAAGTAAAAAACAGTGAGTTTATACTTACTATAAACAAAAATTTACATGCAAACAGGACCGTTTTTTTATAAACATTTTTTTTTCAAATCCACACATGAAATTTTTATATAAAGCTTGGACTCAGGTGCCATCTCTTACATTTCTGTTGAATTTTATCTCAAAACCTTAAACCTTGTGTGTGTACAAAGTTTCAGTTAAAAGGGTAAAAAAAATAGAATTTTAGCTAAAAGAAAGGAATTATTCATACGACACATCTAAGAGAACCAACCATTTTATTTTTATTCTAGTTTTATTACTTTTTAAAGAGATAAAACGATCATAAAAAATAACGAATTAAATCAAATTTTTATTATAATATTTGAAATGCTTTATTTATCAAATATTTGGAATTTATTAGACATATATTTATATATAGTGTTTTTTTAAATTGTAAAAAAACACTATAGAATATTAGCTTATCAACGTTACTCTAGGGAATGTACTCAGTGATAGCGTGAGAGATATAAACCAAAATACATGAAAACAACATAAATAACTACAGTATAGAATAGACATGTATGAAACACAATAATATAGAACATGACAATGTAAATTAATCATTATCATCCCTTTAATACTTTTTTATACGTAAAAAATCAATTTTAGTATTCTAAGCATTTTTAAGATTAATCTTAAAATATTTTCTACATTACTTTTAAATATACCGCAATCGCTTCAACTACTAAACTATTTTCACATTTTTACTGTAATATCATATGTTGCTTTTCATGAAGAAAATTTAATGTGCAATCTTGTCACTATAAACTAACAATTTATTACCTTTCCTGTAATTAATAGTTTCCATAAAATTATATTTACCTCGGAGTAATATCGCATCCTTGTTGCATTAAACAACCAACAGTAAACCATAACGTGTTCAAAAGATTAAATTGGTTCTCTAAATTCTCCGGATTCTGATCACACGGATGAGGATTAACCCATTCGTATGGGCTAAATCTAGCAAGAATAAATAAGAATAGACTGACTCCAAGAAATGCTGTTACCATATATAACCATACTTCTACAGAAAGAGGAGACAGAAAGGAGAAAAGCTTCGGAATTTTTTTGGTTGGTTTCTTAAACAAAATTCCAATCCCCAGATTCATAAAAGGCATTGTAAAATCGACTACTTCTTCTCTTTCGTATGTAATTGTAATATCTCCAATTGCCAAATCAGCTTTCTGAAATTATAAAAATTTATAGTACTTAAGTTATATTTGATGATGTATTCGAATATATAAAGTAATGTAAACAACAACTAGCAAAAGAAAGTTTATGTTGTCTCAGTTTACTCATACCGCATCCATAAGTTCTCTGATCATTCCATTCCATTCTCCCAGATGATCTCTTTTTCCGTAACTTTTATCAGCTACTTCTCTGATAACATAATTGAAACCCAAATACTTGGCAATTTCATCCAATAAATCGACACAGAATCCTTCATATCTTACTTTCTTCGTTACTTTATCTTTAATCTTAATTATATACGGGGGATTCTAAAAAATTAAAAAGTGTATATATATATATTTAGAATTAAAATATAAGGTTTTATTCTTTACAGAAAATAATTTATAGTACTCACAGGCTTGCTTGTCACACTTAAAGTTTTATTTCGTAGAGAATGAATAATATCAAACGTTCTAGTGAAATTTTCTGAGTATATAAATCCCGATGCTTTTGTCCAACTTCCTGTCTATAAATAATATTTATTTTAAAATACATATAAAATTATAATCTTATAATAAAATCACTTTTGAAAGTTGAATAAATTAGATTTTTATTTAATTGTAAAGAAAATTTGTTAGCAATTCGATTTTTTTCTTGCAATTTCGTCTCGAAAAATACTCGTATTTGTGCACGTTTTTGTAGTAAGTGGATTTCGTATATCAAATAAATTCATAATTAAATTAAACAATTAAATAAAGTTAAATCAAAATTTGATAAGTTCGTTTTAATTAGAAAATAAATTTTTTATTAATTTTAATTAATAATTTACGTGCCATTTATGTTAATATTTAATTATTATTCTGATAATTGATTTAGTAATGAAAGAATTTTATATTCTTTAAAAGATACTATAGAAAATAATTGTAGAATCAGCAGCACAAATAATATATTTTATTTACAATTAATCCTTTCCTTATCGAAAGAAAAAAAACAGCATTTCGGTAAATAATTTATAGCTAAACTGAGATTTAGACAAGATTCTAAGTCGATTTAAGTGTCAAAATTTTATTTTATCCGATTACTTAAATATTATTGGTCCTAAATTAAAAATAAAAACTGACATAAACCATGACTTAGATATTTTTTTTTTAATCTGTAACTTGCAATAATTCACTACTGATTGATTTAAACGAAACATTAAAAGACAGATAAATTTATATATAGAGATAAATTTAACTGATACCGTACATTAGATTAGGAAATCTTACTTTAAAATTTATTTCTTAAAATAAATAAATATTAAATTTCTAACATTAAAATAAGAAAATTAATTTTTTTTTTCAATTTGAATAATGTATAACATAGTTTTAAAATAGCAAATGAAAATGTTGAGCAGTATCATTTTACTTACATAAGTAATTGTTTATTAAAGTAAAACTATTTTTATTCAAATTAATTAAGAGTTAATTCAAAAAATAAAACAATAAAAAAAAAAGTCGCTCCTATTTTCATTACAGTCTTATATGCATTACATTCGACATCCTTTATTATTTCTTTGCCGGAAGCAATTCTTACTGATTACGAAGAGAAATCGAAATTGAGTTTTCACTACACAATTTAAATATTTTTCGTTAAATTTATTATAAAATACAATAATTATTTCAATATATATTCATAAAAATCTTTAAAATATAAATGAAGTTAAACCTTAATTAAATTTAGTTGGTACCCATTGGTATTTATATGTAGAAAAAGTTAATCTTGGTGAAAAAACATTAAAAATTTCTTAAATATCTTAACTTAAATTAATATATAACAAGTCTAAACACGAGTTCACTTACTTGTTTCAGACCTTCGTGAGTAACATCCAAGATTGTCAATTTGAAATCCTTACGATATCCATTTTTATCGAATTCAATATTTCCAGTCAAGCCATTTATATTAATCTTTATCAAAGATAAACACGATCAGAATACAATTTTGCATTAATATTTTTACTAATATTTTAGCATTTGGATGTAATCGACTCACTCTTTTTATCGCATTAGCTAGAGCCATTCCCTGAGGCCAAGTCTTTTCTGTATCGCAAGAAACTGGCTTGACTCTTAATTGGTAACTTCGATCTAAGCTGTTAAGTGCTGTTGCAAATAGCGTGACGGCATCGTACATTAGAACGATTTCTGTCTGGAAAAAAAAAATAAATAAATCATATTAATCTTGTTTACTAATAACAAATCATCATCAGAATAAATTATTAAAAGAAATATGAGAGAAGACAAATGAACCGAACTGGATGAAGATTGACAAAATTTAATTTAATTAATTAAAATATAAACAACTTTTAATATTAATTAATAAATGTATGAATGAGGTTATTAAAATAAATTAAGTTTTAATTTTAATTATGAATTCTTTTCTTTAAATGGATTTTTTTTGTAAAGAAATCTTTCATAAAGAAAGCGTAACTGGGAGAAGCCATATTTGCTCATACAAATCACTTTTGTATCGATTTTAAACTAGTTCACGTGTCAACAAAAGCGCTTGGCTGAGGTTTGGTACCTCTTAAAGGAACTAAAAGCTTTAAATTCTGAAAAATGTTTACTTACTGTAATATTCTATCCATTCAGAAGCAATAAATAATTGATGTATTTTTAAAAGATTCTTTATTAGTCATTATAACATATTTCTAATTTAAAATAAAAATTTATCGTTTTAAAATAAACACATTAACATTTCAAAATTTAAGCGTAATTAATAAATTTCGAATATATACAGTATATATATTTTTTTATGTGTTAACTATACGGAGATTAAGAAAATGCTATAATACCTTATAATACTGTGGATCTGCTTCGATATTTTCGTTGTACCAGAGGGGATGCTGTTTCCACTCTTGAAGTAATTCCTTATAGATAGAAGCATCTTCATCGATCAAACGAAAACCTGTGATGTTTGGTCCTGCATTCTGAAATGGTTCTACATTGATTGTGTGCATGTCCTATCCATATAAAAATTTAATTTCTCTTCAAATATCAAGTAACATGAAAGGTATCTTTATGTTTTATATATATATATAAAGTTTTTTCTTTCTAATTAGTTTAATGATTGAAATAATTTTTATTTTTTAAAAAGAACAATTCTTAACTTAATTATTAAGAAAATTTCAAATAAAAATATAATTAACTTATCAAATGTAAGAATTTTCGAATTACAAAATCCGAATTATAATTGTGATAAGAATTATCACAATTATAATTGCTACAAAAGCATACTTAATTCCTAAGTATTCATTCAGTAATTGTCACCTTTATTACAGATAAAGTTATGTTGACTGACTCTTATCGAAGGAGAATCCAATTATATTTTATGCAACGAACTGTAAGATAACTTTAGATACGAAATAATTATTTCCTTATACAAAAGATTACCTTCCTTTTATTAAATACAACAATTTTCCTATAAAATTTAACACATTTAAACATAAATTAATATTTACCAAAGCTTTTAAATGGTAGATATTGATGGTGAAAATAAAAATTCTAAGAATTTTATTATGAAACTTTAGAAAAGACCATTTTAACTTTACAGTAAAACTTTTTTTTTAACTTTACTTTAAGTAATATTTTACAGATGAAATAGAAAATACTTTTATTCTTATGAAAAATGCTTTCATTGATCGTATCAAAACACTATCTTCTCTGGTATCGGTGAAATACTAGGATGAGCAAACATTTAAAAATGAAGAGAATAAATACTTTAGATACATGTTTCTCTGTATAACTTTTATTGTACAGAACTCGAGATAAAAAGTAAAAAAAAAAAAAAAAAGTTTAAAAACCGATAGAGGTTTTTCTTTCAACTACATGCTTCGTGATATGAATAAAAATATCGATTGTTGAAATAAGGATAAGTAAATTCACACAGACNAAATTAAGAACGTGAATATTTATAATATTATGTATTAAATATTTTAATACGTAAACAAATTTTTCAAATACATTTGTAATCTATACTTACCATATTAATAAAAATATAATTGTAATATTCAGACATCATATCCATTTGTTGTGCCTAAGACAATTGTAAATATTTAATATATTTTTAAAAATAAATAAAATTCTGTTGGTTAATATGTTAAAATATTAAGTTTTATACATAAAAATTTAACAAAATTTTTCATAATAATTTTCTGTGAAATTTATTATAATCGATTTTGTATGTTAATTTCTAAAACTAAACATTTTAAAATTTATTAATAAAATTAAAGTAAATTATTAATTTACATTTCGAAATTGAGAGAAAAAATATTAATTTTTTCAAAAATTAAACAAACAAAAAAAAAATATAAATTTACTTTAAGATTTTTGCAATGAAAAATCTTAAAATAAATATATCGATTTATTAAATTACTTTGTTCTTTAATCCTATTTCATTTACATTTTAATCTGGTTTCCTTTATCATTATTGCATAAAATTATTTGGTTCAGAAGCTAAAGTTTGTATCAAGGGATTTGCTTACAATCGATAATTTCTCTTGTTAACATTGTATTGCTTTAAATATGAAAAGAAAACATTTCATACCCAATTTCGGTTGTAACTAAATAAATTATACTTTAATATAGTTTAAACTTATGATTAATATATTTTATATTAAAATTAAATTAATATAATTCCTACATGTTCTATAACAGTAACAAGATTTTCTGTAGCAACATCGATAATCATGTTTTTGACACCATTCCTTCCCATTTCCTTTAACAGTTTTCTATATTCCTGTTCTGGACTGAATTGTCTGACAATCACATTCTTCTGCCTCATTGCTGGATCTCTCAGTAATGTCTGAAGTCGTATCAACGCTGTTAAATAAACGAAAGTATAGATTTTATACCGTCATACTAATGTTTTCTTTATATATATAGCTCCAAAGTTTATATCTCTATGTTTATGTTTGTATATAATGTTAATAGAATGCTAGAATAATTAAAGATAATATTTCAGGAATTATATTTTCTTAAAATATGATAATTTAATTAAGTTTATACATAATTTTAGAGTCAATAAGCATCATAACCTAATTATTCTTACTATTATTTACATTACTTGATAATTTGCCAATAATTATATTTTTGAAAAAATAATTTATATTCTAAAGTACAGTATTTAAATGTAACTTCAATTACATTTTTATAAAATATGATCCTTTAACTTAAAGCTACGCTATCAAATACATTACTATAAATTTCGTAAGAGATATATTAGAGAGTTTTAGGAATTCGTAAGCGATTAGTAATTCTAATGGTTACTTATTAATTACACCCTCATACAAGGCTCTAGTAGGGCCATTTATTACGTGCCTCATATTTAAAAAAAAGCCTTAAAACATTTGCTACAAATCCATTGCTCTACTACATTTCTTATATATTAAAAAAATCTTTATCTTTTGCCAAATTTTATTATTTAATCACAAAAAAGAAGAAATATCTATAGATGAAAACAGAATTTGTACAGTACTTCATACTAAATTTAGCTTTAAACAACTCACCATCACTGTCTTCATATAGAATAGCTAACGTTTTCCAATTTTTTTCTAGAACGAAATCTCTATACGCTATTCCTATCGTATCAGGATGCGGATAGAGATTGACAGTCTGGTTGTTCCTGGGAGATCTATAATCCCATCTGTACTGGATATGGGGAACTTCTAGTACACTGCATGTGGATTGGATGGCTGAACTGCTTTCACTAGATTGAGGACCGAAAATGGCAGCCATTCCTTTACTCAACAATTCACATACTGAAAGATAAAAACAAAAGAAAGAAACTAAAATATATATATATATATTAAAAAAAATCTGAGTTTTGTTATTATTAGATTTAAATGAGTTTTATAGAATTCTCATCGATATAAAATTTTTTTTTTAATATCAGTGAAAATAGATAAGTCTATAGAAACATTAGTCTCAACAGAAATAACGATAATAGTAACATTTTTACAAATAGATATTCTCACGAGAAATCAAGAGCTCCCAGAAAAATATATCTCTATTTTTTTTTCTTCTTGGTGTTCGGCTTGGTACTTGCATTTCTGGTCATTGACTAGAGTAGGGAATGGAATAAAATGTCACAGGAGAATCATATAGACACTTTCTCTTGATGACAATATCGAACTATGTATTGAATTTGGTAAAGAGAGATATCAGATGGACAATTGTATTCTTCATCCAATAAACTTCAGAAAAGCTTACAGATAAAAGGATTCGACCATTGTATAAAAAGTAATGCAAGTCATGACAATAAAGGATTCAACTTTAAGTTAAATTGTAAAATTTTAATAAATAGTATATTCATTTTTAAAATCTAGATTAAATTTTAAAAGGCGAATAACTAATTTTAATTTAAAAACTTTATATTATTTATGATATTTAAAATTAAAGTAAACATTTAAAATTGTTATTTTATCGATAAAAGTTTGTTGAACGTTTTATCCCAAGATGAAGATGTAGCTCTAATTGTATCAAATATAGCAAGATAATCAAGCGAATAATGTATTCTGTAGCTTCTTTCGTAGGAAAATAAAAAAAAAAAAAACACCCCAAAACTATCGGTTATATGTTTTTGCGTTTTACAGAACATCTTATAAAAAAGGAAGGAAGCAAAAATGCGCATTTAGAATGTGAAATGCAAATGTAACAGAATTTATCTCTCCAACAGAATATAAATGCTTTGAGTTAAACAAAATTTAGAAATGTTCCATATGTATTTGGTAAAACTGCAATTGACAGTAAACTAAAATTTTTCCCGGATATATTTCTTATTAATAATTGAATTTAATCAAGTTTTTTTTTTCAATTTTAAAGATGTTATTGTTGTTATTATTTTAAAAGAAAATAAATTTATAAAAATTACCTTTTCTAGTCGCTTGGAAACTATCGTGTCGTTTCACTCTTTCTATATGAGGTTGTAATCTGGTATGACTTAATATTTGTTTATTATCATTTATCCTATTGATGGCATGACGAAAAGCTTGCTCCAAAGTATCGTCGTTGGTTTCAAAAAGAGCTCCTAAATTAAAAACAAAATCATTTTGTATTTTCACGTCAAATTAGTTCTTAAAAAGTTTAATTAATACATCAAATCATTGAAAATACGTTAACAGATATAGTAAACTTTCTCTTTATTGGTGTACTAAAATACACTTCTAAACACAATACTATAGTACAGTACGTTAGCACTGACACTATACTACGATTACAATATACAGTTTATGTACAATAAATATTATATATAGAAAAATACTATATACAATCCAGTTTAATGACAATGATAAATCTAACTTGTAAGCTTTAAATTATACTCTTCTACACCCTTCCTTCGATTTCAATACGTCACTCGTATCTAAACCCTTTCCTAGAGAAATAACTTGCTTATCTATTTCAATAAGCTTACAAGATACTTTAGACACGACTTTAGCTAATCTGCATCTATTTTCTCCTTCATTCTCCTTCAAGTTTCCTAAAAGTCCTTCTTTCAACACTTAAAGGAGAGACTTTTAAAAACGAATTCGAATAAATCAAGATATTGATTCCTTTTGAGAAACTTCTACGCCCGTCAAAATTTAAACTTGGGTGGACATCATCTCCACTTATTTGTTTCCTTTTTTTTCTTTTTGTGAAACGAAAGATAGATTATGATCAGGCCACATCTGGACCGGAGTTAGATGCAATAAAACTAGTTTCTCCTTTGCCTTTTTCCAAACATCTGGAGAATAATCTTCACGGATACAGTGAAAGATTGTGTTTATTTTACATTTAATAAATAGATTATACTAGTTGACGATGCGTGGAAATATTCTTAATTATTTTAAATAACATATTAATTGTTTTAACAGTACTGTATATGAAAAAGTAAGTTTTAATTATATTTAATGCTTGTTTAAAACTCTTTTTAGCTTTTAAACAAATAGATAATTGTATAAGTTTTATGATAAAAAACTTAAATGAATAAATATTTAAAATAAACTATTAAATTAATTCATATAATAATAACAATAAGAATGTATTTAATTTCATTTTAAAATTGCCAAAAATTAAGTTTAAGTAAAAAAATAAGTATAAAATCTTACAATTTTCAAAAATATTTTAATGTATAAAAACATTTTTATAACATGAATAAAAAAAAAATGTTTAAAATTAAATAAGAAAAATCCCTATTGTGTTAAAACAATTCGAAAAATTTTTATTTTTTAAAAAGAACAATTCTTAACTTAATTATTAAGAAAATTTCAAATAAAAATATAATTAACTTATCAAATGTAAGAATTTTCGAATTACAAAATCCGAATTATAATTGTGATAAGAATTATCACAATTATAATTGCTACAAAAGCATACTTAATTCCTAAGTATTCATTCAGTAATTGTCACCTTTATTACAGATAAAGTTATGTTGACTGACTCTTATCGAAGGAGAATCCAATTATATTTTATGCAACGAACTGTAAGATAACTTTAGATACGAAATAATTATTTCCTTATACAAAAGATTACCTTCCTTTTATTAAATACAACAATTTTCCTATAAAATTTAACACATTTAAACATAAATTAATATTTACCAAAGCTTTTAAATGGTAGATATTGATGGTGAAAATAAAAATTCTAAGAATTTTATTATGAAACTTTAGAAAAGACCATTTTAACTTTACAGTAAAACTTTTTTTTTTGTTTTAACTTTACTTTAAGTAATATTTTACAGATGAAATAGAAAATACTTTTATTCTTATGAAAAATGCTTTCATTGATCGTATCAAAACACTATCTTCTCTGGTATCGGTGAAATACTAGGATGAGCAAACATTTAAAAATGAAGAGAATAAATACTTTAGATACATGTTTCTCTGTATAACTTTTATTGTACAGAACTCGAGATAAAAAGAAAAGAAAAGAAAAAAAAGTTTAAAAACCGATAGAGGTTTTTCTTTCAACTACATGCTTCGTGATATGAATAAAAATATCGATTGTTGAAATAAGGATAAGTAAATTCACACAGACACTTTCTGCACGAACTATCTTAAATGATTACAGAATAAAAGTTTATTCAATATGTTAAAGATTTTATATTTATATTTCTACCATTAATTATTAATATATAAGCTATATATATTAATAATAATTTTGTAATATTTTAAGTTTAATATTAATACGGCTTGTACATTAAATATTTTTTCATGGTTCAATTAAAATTGCTAGAAAGTAGGTCACACTTTCGTAAAAAAAAAAAAATACAAAATTTTCATATTACATTGCCAAAGGAAGGAGCCTCATTTAAAATTGATATCATATTTATACTGTATATAATTTATACAGTACTAAAAACAATTTATTTATGTTTATAAGTAAAATGTTTTACTTTATATCCTCCCAATATCGATTTAAGGGAGTTTATTTGAAAACTTTCCTATCGACTTTTAAAATGTTTACTGCAATTTACATGTAACTCACGAAAGTTCAATTTAAATATACCATCGAGTGACATTCAAAAAAATGTATTTGTATAAGGAAAGAAAGAAAAAAAAATAAGAAAATATATCAGCTTTTAAATTCGGATACGGATTTTGTAAGATGGCTAAGATTTTATCAATACTGTCACGATTTGTCATATAAATCTGATAGAAACGTTTCTTTTGACATCTATCTGACTATTTAAAATAAAATATAGGTATTTTTGATATTATATGTCTACGTGAGATATTACGATAGTAAATCTTACAATATATTAGCAAATCGAAAAGATCCTACTTCAACTCAACTCCTTTGTAAACGTCTAAGTTATAAGAAAAATGCACATTTCTTAAATAAAAAAAGAACTTAATCTGCAAAAAAATAAAGAAGATTAAAAGAAAGAGTGTAATTAGTATTGGATTCTTGAAGGAAATTTATGTTTCTTAAGATCTTTTTTTTTAACTGTCATAAATATATTTTCTTGATAGAAATGCCTATTGATCATATCAGTGATTATCCATAAAACTTTTTTTTATCATTAAAAAATTTTATTTCTTTCTTTTTTTTCTATTTTATAAATCACTGACAAGCAGTTTATATTATAAAGGATTAAAAATTCTTCTAGCAATCAAATTTATCTATTTTTATTATAGTAATAAATTAGCTTTTATTTTATTAATATTTTTATTTTCTACACATAAGAAGGAACAGGTTTATTATTATTATTATTATTTTTTTTAACTATTTCAATGAAAGAAAATCATTTTAAACACTTCTCTACACACTTTATTTATAAAATTTTATTAAAATAAACATAAATTAATTTAATTATTAATATTTTTAAATACTAAATTATACTGAAATGAAAAATTTTAAGTCAATTTTTCCAAAATTAAATTATTTAAATCATCATTTGTGTCTCAAAAATTTAATTTTTTAATAGTAGTTTTGTCAATTTTATAATATTTTCATCATATAAATAGTGTTTCTTCATATATAATTCATAGTATTGAGGTAATCTATTATTCAGAGGTTTGATGTTTTTATAAAAATGAATATAAATATATATTTTTTTTATTTGTAAATATGAAACTTGTATTTTTTAAAAAAGTTATTAATATTTTATTTAAAATTAAATTCTAAATATATTTCAGACATGCTACGAACATTCTTAAATAACTTGAAAAAATTTCATTTATAATTTAATTGATAATTAATTATAAGAAGCGAACATATTTTTTTAAAAAAAGAACTTACTTTACATCAAGAATATGTAAAAAAAAACATATCCTCTAGGGATTTTTTGTAAGATAAATAAGGAATTTTACAGTTAAAAGTTTATTACTTCTGATTTTATTATAGAAATTTTACAGAAAATTATAAAAAAATTGTTTTATAGGAAAAAAATTTATATTTAAGATTCTTAATATAAATTATTATTAAATCAATTTAATTAATTAGAAATGTATAAAATTATAGGTGAGTTTTATCTATTTTTTTTCTATTTACTAAAAATAATTATACGATAAAAGCTATGTAAAATGGAACCATAATAAAACTAAAACCAGTCAAACCGGAAAAAATATTGAGATTCCGATTTATATAATTTTCACTGTAATTTTTAACGATTCATAAGCTTATATAAACAAAATTAAAAAAATAAAAAATCTAAAATTACGCTTAAATCTGTCATTTTTAAATTGATTTTATTCGTTTTTTTTTATTGTCAATAAAATAAAAATTGACTAAGTTAGATTAAATATTACACAATAACATTGTATAGATCATATAAAAACTTTGAAAGATTTTATTATTAATTTACATAATTTTTTAAAGTTGAAAAAAAGTTATTTCTATTCATAAAGATGAGAAATTTGAATCTCATCAAACTGTCAATTTTTTGTTGGAGAATTGACGAAATTCCACAGAGTCTCGTTACAAACAGAATCCGAAGAAGAAATTGGTAGCTGACAAGACGAAGAAAGAAAGTAGATGTTGCTAGTTCCAATATTTCCAACAAGTCACATCTCTTCACGACTTTTTGACATTCGAAAATCCAGGATTTACAATCGATTCGTTCATTGTTAACCTTTACAGAGCGACTAAACACAATTACAAATTGCAAATTAATGGACGTTGCATAGAATTAGTTTGATAATGAAGAATAAAAGTATACATTTAATAAATAAAATCTTATAAAGTATATTTATAAACTAACAAATCATATTATATATATATATATATTTTAATGTTAGATGAGAAGAATAAAATGATAAAGTCATATTATAGAGTTTATCATTTTTATTTTTGTTTTTTTTTAATAGACTAATAGAAAAATATAACAATAATAAAAATTTATTCAATGTAAGCTTATGACATGAAATAAAATTTATTTCAAGTTTAAATATATTGGATTTTTAAAGTTATACTATTATATTCGTATACTGATAAAGGAAATTTATAGATTCTTTTCACAACATATAAGCAATTTCATTTGATATGTATACTTGTACGTAATAAAACCAATATACAAGGGAAATATCTCATAAAATTTTTTTTTTGAACGAAGAAAATATTCAGTCGAATGTTCTCATTTATGATAGAGACGAATTTTAAGTTATTCTATGCCATGAAAAAGATATTAAGAAATTTTGGATTGCTCTTTTCGGATTTTTGAATTTTAGAAAATCAAATTTTCTCCTTATTTTAAAAATTTATTAGTTAAATTTAATAATATAATTTTTTTTTGTAATAACAGTTCATTTGCCTTATTCCATACCTTTTTTATGTGCAAATACAGTAATTATAATTAAGAAAGAAATCTGTTAAATATTAAGTTTGGTCATTTTGTTTGTCATTTCTTAACTTTTTAAAGTTATTTTCTATTAATATATCCATTCTTTTATAGAAATTTTGGAATAATGTTAAAATTATTGTTAAAACTGAAGAGTTTTTGTAACAAATCCAACAGAGTTATTACAAAAACAAATGATATAATCCCAAGTATATCACCTGTAAATACCTAGTTATAATCCTACGACTATTAAACCTTTTCTATTATATATTATTATAGTTGTAGAAGACAATACATACATTTAATTAATTTATTTAAAAGTAAAGAATAATACAGTAATGTATGTAAAAGAAAAATTTATTTTCCCTTTTCTAATATAAATTATTTCACTTTTGATCCGGTTTATTCAATCACACTAATAAAAAGAAATATGATATTAAACTTAAAATCGAATTATTGATTTTAAATTTGTTATAGGATCAAGTAATAAATGCTTTTAGCAACGTTAGCGGAATTAAATTCCTTTCTGCATAAGAAAAAAAAAATTATTATAAATAATTTATTGCGATATTTTTTTAGCAATTAGATTTTTAAATTTATTATAAATTAAATGGTAAAATAAAATGTAGGAAAAATGTTTTAATTAAAATCTTATCATAATTTATCAGAACAATTATTTATTTATGAACGATAAAAATTTGTATAAACAGTTTAAAAATATTTACATTCATTAATTTTAAATGTAAAATAAATAAAAAATGAAATATTAATGAAAAAATATTTTTTAAACTTTATATTAGCTTCATATTTTTATGTAGAGTCAAACAGAGATTGTAAAATTTTGAATTATATTTCAAATATATATTTATTACAAATAACAAATTTTATTTTTGTTACCAGATAAGCTTTCAAGTAAATAAATCTTATCTGTAATAAGCAGTTTTGACAAAGTATATCGAGGACAAGCAAATCATCAATCGTATAAAATACATCTCGAACCATGAGGAAAGAAAGAAACAAAAGAACACATCACTTATCGGGGGGGAACTAAATAAAATAGATAGTGTACAGTTAAAGAAGTGACTTCACTCAATTATTATTTGAAAAATTATTTAAAATAAATATTTCTGTTGGTTATATTACTCTTATGTTTCTGCTTAAAGATACTTCTACATTTATTATTATTATTATTATAAAATATTTTTATTTAAATGTGAGTGATCAAAACTTATCTTGCGTATAGATTCAGAATCGTCTAGTGCATTTGCGGCTCTCCAGGTCAATGTATACACAATCAAACTTCGATTTAGAATCGCGATTTCGTTGACTGTGAAATTGGTACTAAATCGAGTGTGGCGATAAACCGAAGTTCCTGAAACAGTATCCATAATAATGTACTGTACTGTACTTCACACACAAGCTTGACTTAAAAGGTTTTGATTTCGTTTTAACCACGTCGCTTGTAGTGCAAAATCGTACATTTGGTAATTCACAGTTATTGAAGGAGCCATTGTTTAATATTTACAAGAAAGATCCGTTTGAAAAATTCCAAGAAAGATTCATTGAAGCTTTACCAGGATGGTCTATTTATGTAGGTGTTTTATCGCGGTTTATCACTATAAAAAATATGTACAAATTATGAATTAAATAATAATTTTGCGAGAATTTTATCTGTTAATATTAAAAAAATATTTAAACTTTCGTTGATCATTTTTGTAATTATTTACTTTCTTTAGAAGAGTGTACGTGGTCCTTTTTCTTACATTGTTAGAAGCATATGTCACTCTCTGCACCTTCTGTATGCTTGTGTTCAAGATAATTTATAAAATTTCGAATAAACTTGAATAATGAAACACATTTTTATTGCAGAGAAAAAATGAATATATGAATTTAAGTAAAAAATTAATTATATTTTTTACAGATGTTAAATTAAGTTAGTGGTAGCATAATTCAGTATTTTGAAAATGTCTTTATATGCATAATTTTATATTGAGATATTTAAAATTTCTTTGATAGAATTTGTTTCTACCGAACAGTTTTATTTAATAAAATATGATCTTGTTATGAAAAAAAAAACTATATACGTTTTGTTCGAAAGTCATGCGGTTTCTTTTTCTATCTACGTGTCTCTACATAAATTATAGAATAAATAAATAAATACAGTAGAGCGTCGATTTTCCGAATCAATTGGGGACTGGGGTTGTCCGGATAACTGATATTTCGGATAACTGATTTACGTACGAAAAAATAGTTTAACGTATCCATGTCGAAATTTTTATCCGTTGCGTGTCGCTTCGCGTTGAATTTTCGTCGATGTTAAGCCTAACGAAGACTATTGTATCGTTAAAAATTATTTTTTTAATTTTGTACAAACAAAATAAATATATTGAAAAATATAAAAATAATAAAAAATTATACTTCAGATATTAATTTAGTATCAAAAACGTAAAATATTTGAGTAGCCCAAGACATAGACAAAGATTGAAGCGCCACAGCACTGGCAAAAATTTAAATTTGCCGACTGGAATTCTTTCGGATGATTGACGTTTCGGATGATTGACTTTCGGAAAATCGACGCTCTACTGTATATATATAACAACTTAAAATTTATTTGATTTATTTATTGACAAATTATTTTATGTAAAAATTAATTTTATTCATTGTGATTTTATTATTGAAAGAAAAACCATCATAGTCCAATAAGTATTAAAATTAGAATAGTTTCTTTTTTATATTTTATACACTAAAATATTTCTAAATTTTATAATACGTGACTATTTACAAATAATACAGAAATATACCAAAATGTATTACTTTAAAAAGAAGAGAAGTTTTCTCAACAAATTTGGAGATTTTTGCACTTCTACGTTGAGTTATAAACACTAAATTAATGTGTAGGATATAAAATTTCGACCTATGAAATCCTATTATATATCCTTAATCTGTTATGACTATTTTCTCTTTATTCTATCTCCTTACTTTTCTTAAGAACCTCTATTTCTTTCCTATCAAGATATATTTTCCTCTTTTTTATCTTCTATATCTTCTCATCCTATATCTTTATAACGCAAATAGTTCGATAAAATATATATATAAAGTGTGTAAAAACATATTTTTCTATATTCCATTCCATTTTAATTGAAAACATAAATAAATATTTACAATATTTGCATATAAAAATAGCGTAATTCAATCTTATTAATTCAATTTTTTTTGTGTGTGTTATTCCAAAGAGATTATTTAAAATGAAATGATTTAAATTAAAGTAGCTTTCATAAGTTTGGATGTTTAAGAAATTGCATTTTTAATGAAAATTGCATTGAGGTTACTTAAGTGCTTTTTCTTATCTCTTCCTACTCAGTAACAAAGTAATTTGTTGGGAATGGATAAAATGAAAGGAATCAAATCCATCCAACTTGAAATTAAACTATCTGAAAATTGATTCTCGATATTAAAAAAAAAATCAAATATTCAAAAATGATTCATTTTGAAAATAGCAAAAGAGATAAGAAAAGAACAAACAATTCTCTTTAAAATTCAGAAAGGAATAAGAAAACATTTTATATAAACGACAGTAACTTAAAATTTCTTTCTCTCCCCCTTTTTTTTTTACAAATTTCTAAAAATCATATTCATCAGCACTTTTTAATGAAGTCGAACTCGAAAAGGAAAAGTAGATTAAATATGAAATCTAATTTCGCGAAAAGTTCCATCAAGTTATTTTCTGAATAAATTTATTCACGCATTTTAACGGAGGAGGAAAAAAAAATTATAATCTTCTTAATTAAAATTCCACAGCGGAATAAGGCATCGTGAGAATGTTAACATTGATTAATATATTCATTAATAAGCACTTTTCTATTTTACATTACAAAAATCTGCCAGAAAATGGAGGCAAATATATATATACATTAATGATTCTAACAACTTGTATGTGTTCATTAGATGTCTTTAACGATTTTCTTTAAAATAAAACTTTTTTTTAGAGAAAAAAATTAAACAGCAACAATTATTTTTCTATGTAAATAATTCTCTTTAAAGTACAATTAAATTTAGTTAATAGTATTTGAATCAAATACAAAAGTTCGAATTGAACTAAACTTGAACTCTGACTTCTTTCAAATTACTTTTTGTCTTCTTTTACCAAAGATCGAAGATGTCGATAAACACCTCTAACCTCTAGTAGTTAACTCCAATACCACATCGCGGACACATGACAGAAGAGTTATGTCTTCTCTGACCTACTAAACTATTTTTATACGAAAATTTATTTTTATTAATGAGTAAACATTGCAGTAAATTGTAAAAAGACCAAAATTAATGTGACAATAAATTTCCCGTGTCTCATTACCACTTTAACATTTAGCAAAAAAAAAAAAAACTATATATTTACCATGCAAACTAGATACGAAATTAAAACACAATCGATCTGCACAATTACCGTCACGTTTATAACGTTTTATACATGTTAAAAAATTATTTTTTTTCAGAATACGTATCGAGTATAAAAGTAAGTAAATCTTTTACTTAAATAGTTATTTACACTTACCTATAGGTATCACATCTGGTAAAGTAGACATTGTTAATCCAATCAAAGTCAATAGGCAGAAGAGAGTAAGTTTATCCATATTCCTTCTGTACAAATTTGCTAGTTTTATAAGCACGTTGAGAACACCTGTGACTACCTCACCACCACAGATTGGAGAAATGAACAGCAATGGTCGGAGCCACATCCAGGTTGAAGCAGACACCAGGCACTCTGGCGGGATTTTCCTGTAACAATGGAATAAACCAAATATAACAGAGGGGTTCTCACCATTACTAAACAGTTATAAAAATCAAGAAAATGTTTCACTCTTAAATATTTCTTTTTTTTT